GACCCACGGTTTCTTAATCAGGTTCCTATGCTAGAGCAGCACGGGTCGAGGGCCAAACGTGCCTAAATCTGCTATGGGGGCCTGAATAATCGAAACGGCTTCTATAAGAGTTCTGTATTAGAAAGGTTTCGATACTTAGAATTGGGTATTATTGTACTGTACTTACTTCCAGGGACTCTAGTGAATAATATACATAATTTTGCAGGCCCCTATATTGCAGCATGAACAGGATTCCTGGAAAAGAATCAGTGTGGAGAGCCGGTTGACATGAGAGCCGGTTGACATTCGTACTTGGACCCTTTAAGGCCGCTATGTTCACGGCTTGCATTCCTGAGGGTTTAGGGTTTGGGGTTTAGGGCTTAGGGTTTAGGTGGCACTCTGGGAAGTCATAGCCGCCATGGTCCTAGAGAGCTACCCCTGCAACGTAATCCCTAGGCCCCAAGCCCTGTGTACGTACTTCGCGGCCCCCACATGGTATACTACCCAGGAAGGCCTTTGCATGAAAACGCTCTGAGAAGAAATTCGGAGTGCGATGCGTCGGGCAGATATGGCAGATGACAGAAGAACCTCTGTTCACGAACCGCTTCCGGTATTAGGATGCAGGCTTTCGGACTCAAGTTCCAGGTTCGCTTCCCTAAGGGTGCATGTGCCCAACTAGTATATACTTTATCGGTAATTGGGGGCCAAAGTATGAACCCCCCTAAACCCTAAGCCCTAAACCCTAAGCCCTAAACCCTAAACCCTAAAGACCCCCCTCGGTTTCAGGCTTGATGTTTGCGCTTTTAGTTGGGCTGTCCAGGAGTTCTTGGTTGTGTGTGGTTTAGGGGTTTATATAGGCTTTAGGCCTTTGGGTTTAGGAGTTCAGGGGCTTAGGTTCAGGCTTTAGGGTTTAGGGGTTTAGGGTTCAGGCCTTAGGGGTTTAGGAGTTCAGGGGTTTAGGTTCAGGCTTTAGGGTTTAGGGGTTTAGGGTTCAGGGTTTAGGGGTGTAGGGGATTAGGGTGTAGGCTTGAAGCCGTTCGGCCGGCGTCGATGTCGTCCTTTGCAAAGTACTCGGCTGCTTCGTGTCCGTTTTGAAAGTTGCGAGGTCATATCTTCCTCACGGGTTCCGTACTTTGACATGCTATGAGACCCCTTGAGATAGAAGGGACTTGGGGGGTAGTCAGGTAAAACCAAACCGTTGGCCCTAAACCCCTAAACGCTAAACCCCAAACCCTAAGATTCCGCGTGTGCCAGGTACTTCTGGCAGCTCTGGTTTTGGGAGCTTGGAGCTTGCTCTGGGGGTTCTTTAGGGTTTAGGGCCTTGGGGCTTTGGGATTTGGGGGTTTAGGGTTTCAGGGTTTAGGGCTTTGGGCTTAGGGCTTGAACCCTAAACCCTAAACCCTAAACCCTAAACCCTAAACCCCTAAAGGCTTTGGGTTTTGGGGTTTAGGGTTTAGGGTTTCGGGGTTTAGGGTTTAGGGTCCGGGATTCTTTAAAGAGTCCTCTAAAGCAGACTTTGGGTTTAGAGTTTAGGGTCTAGGGTTTGGGGTTTAGGGGCCCTATTTATGCCAAATCTACGGGCTGAGACAACACATCCGGTGCAATGCATGTCAGCGACAAGTAGGTCTGCAACAAGGCCATTGAGCTTTTGGGCAATGCATAACCCTAAGGCCGCAAGGGCCCATGTACCCGAATAGTAGATACTTCGGACCCAAAATACCTATAAACTATTTACTATTTGGGTTCATGGGCCCTTACAATAAGAACACAGGAAACTGTATGAAAGTACTTGTGCTGGCATTGTTACTCCCTGCTTGCAAACTTAGCTTCCTGGCCGTTTGGATGCGGCTTTGGTGTTCTGTGTTCTACACCTCAGAGCAAGATACCTCCCGAGGCCGCGACGCATCAATCCCTGGCAGTCTTGGCTGCAAACGAGGAGGACAGCGTTTCGAATGTGCAGCGACAGTTGCAACCCTAAACCCTAAACCCTAAAAGGTTACAGGTTTATCTGTAACACCATTACTGAGGGGTCACACTACCCGGATTATAAAGAGCCCCTGAAAGGACTGTTTAGGGTTTAGGGTTTAAGGGTTTAGGGTTTAGGGTTAAGAGCCCCTGAAAGGACTATTCTACCGTAAGATTCCTTTAAGCAGCTCCAGCTGTTCATGTCCACCCTTGGGTTTTGCTTCCGGGCGCTTTGAAGTCAGAATGACACCAATCCTACACTCCTTCACGGTTTAGGGTTTTTTAGGGTTTAGGGTTTAGGGTTAGGGACTCTGACTGTAACCCTAGAGACCCCAAATCCCACAGCCCCTGCCTGCTGTTGGCGGTTGGAGGGCATCCGTGGACAAGTGCAGCTCTGACCTCTGTGACAATTCTGCTGGCAGAGAACACTTCAAGAGAGACAAGGAACAACGGTATCTTACCCCTAAGCCCTAAACCCCTAAACCCTAAACCCTAAACCCTATACCCTGAACCCTGTCTGACGAGTTCGGCTGTGGTCCCACGACGAGACGCGATTTCTGCAGCTTGGCCACTCTCCCGAGGACATTGATGCCCACTTCGGCATCCTCGCATCCTTTTCGGAGCGAGCGAGCCGCTGCTTGTGTATTACGTGGGTAGTTGTCAAAATTATGGTTCCTTTTGGGGTACCCTAAATAATAGGTGCCGTCTTATAATAAGGACCCAAAAAGGGACCACAATTTTGACAACCACCCACATGAACAAGCTGCTGCTTTGTTGAATTCTGAGGGGCAGCCCTCAAAACGAAAACCCTAAGCTCTTACGCCTAGCTTGGAGCCTCGAACCCTAAACCCTATATGCACCATGAACCCTTAACCCTAAACCCTAAACCGCTTCATACCCAACAGGACCTGTAAGCCCCAAAGGCAAGAGGACAGGCATCAACACCTACCCTGAACCATAAATCTTACAGAGCTTAACCCGTAAACCATCTTAATAAGCCCCTGTAGCCTAAACTTTAGCAAAAGCCCGCCGCAGCATTGGAGGACAGACATGTTCTTCAACTGCTAGCACAGAAGCTTGGTCTCGCAGCGCCGGAGGCTAGGCTGGGATGGGCTCTGGGCGATTCCTCTAGAGGGATACCTGAAAGGATCTTATGACAGGGCTATCATCTCAGGACTTACAAGATTTCTCTTTAGCTTTTTTGGCAGGGTCTTCAGAGAGTTTGGTAGAATAAAAAAGCAAAAACACCCTGTTTAAAACCGAAATCGATACAGATGGTACCATTTGCCAAGGATTCTCTTTTTCAGCGGGTCGGGGTTGAGATCATGTCTTGATGGATCGGTTGGAGGTTAATAATGGTTCGGAGTTTCAGGGAGTCGGGCTTCAGTGTGTAGGGCTTGTTGAGTTTCGTGTTCAGCATCAAGGGAGCAGGTGACGCATTGAGTGGGTCGTTTTTGGATATATATATATATATATATGTATGTATGTGTATTTATATATATATATATATATATGTATGTGTATATATATATATATATATATCAAGGTGCCTTTGTATGTCAAGAGAGTACGACACCCTTTTAAAGAGAGGATTCTAAGTTATAATATATACCCCAACTCGTGTTAACATACTTGTTGAGGCCCGGTGAGCATTCAAGCAGTACTGTGAGACTTCATGGCTCTGGGTTAGGACCGGGGGGTTTAGGGTTTAGGGGTTTAGCGGTTTAGGGTTTAGGGTCTAGGGGTTTAGGGGTTTAGGGTTCAGGGGCATCAGGGTTTTAGGTTTACTGTCCAAGGGCTGACTGGGTTTCTGCTACCAGAACCCTGCACCCTGGATAGTTTAGGTTTCCAGTTGGAGGTTTGGGTTGGGGCCGAGTTTAGCCCCTAAGCCCCATAAACCCTGAACTCGCCCTAAACCCTAAACCCTAGTTGAATAAATCCCTGAGTCCGGTTTCTGTCCGGCAGGCATCCTTTGATGCCTTTCTTTATCTGCAGGCCGGGAAAGCAATCCGCCTTGCGGATATCGAGCTTAGGCTTTGGGGTTTCAGGATCAGGGTGTTAATTTAGGGTTTTGGGTTTAGGGTTTTAGGATCTGGGGTTTGGGGTTTTTCGGGTTTTGGGTTTTAGGGTTTAGGGATTAGGGTTTGGCTGTTCTAGGTTGAGATGAGACTTGTAGGCTTCCGTTTGCATCAGCATCCCCGTACAGTAGGCCAAAGCTAAACCCGACAACTCCTTACCCCTTGCATGTTCGACAACCCTAAACCCTAAACCGAAACCTGAAACCAAAAAAAACCCAAACACTAAGTCGAGTGACGACCTCGGATCCTGACTAGGCGCCCATACAGCGCTAAATACCTCAAGGGGCTCATCGAATGACCTGAATTCCAGGGTTACGATGCGGCTTTTTCGGCGTTCGTGCTTGAAGATTTTTTTAGGCAGCGGGGTGCATCATGTTAAGGTTCCGGGCTCAAGTTAAGGCAGTTAAGGTTTAGAGTTTAGGATTTAGAGACGGCCAATTGAGGGTCCGAAGTGAAGGTTTTGTTTGCCATCACTGGTTCGTGGAGGCCCCCGAAACCTCTCTCTGTAAGCTATAAGCCTTCAAGCAGTTCATTCCGAATCTTCAACCACAAACCCATTTAATATAGAAGCCTAAATAATCACTCATCTTACCGTGAGGGCTCCTTATAAAATTAGTACCATAAACGAGCCCAAAACCCTATTGAAATTATTATGGCCCCTACATTAGGCTTTAGAGGTGGGGTTCAGGATCAGGCTTTGGGCCTTGGAATTAGGCTTCAGGGTTTGGGGGTGTAGGGTTAGGCTTTGGGCTTTAGGGCTTGGGGTTTAGGTGTTAGGCTTTAGGGTTGGGGCCTAGGCCTTAGTATAAGGCTCGGGGTTTAGGCGTTAGAGCGTTGTACGGGCTTCGGCGGGTTTAGGGTTTTGGGCTTGGGTTTAGGTTTTGGTGCCGGGGCAAAGCCGTACAAACGCGATAACTGTAGCAAAAGTAACAACCGTAGAGCAACTGGTTTATACCTCCTGCAGGAACCGAACCCTTGTGGAACTCTTGTATATGCCCGCTCTGCAAAGATCTACCAACACACCCACTAAACCCCACACCCTAAACCATAAAGCCCCAAACCCTAAAACCCAAGACCCTAACGAGGCACCAGAGTTCCAGTTCCTCGCGAAAAGCCACGTCTACGAGGCTTCGGTTGAAGGTTTTAAGCGCTGGGTTGAAGATCCGTTGTAGATCTTAAGTAGGGGTTTGAGGGCTTAGGGTCTTGGGTTGAGGGTTTCAGGGTTTGGGGTCTTGGGGTCTTAGGGTTTGGGGTTTAGGGTTTAGGCTGCAGGGAGGGCTGGGTACCGGGGATGTGCGGGTGAGGTTTAGGGTCGAGGATTTACTTCAGGGTGAGTTTAGGGCTGAGGGTTTGCCTTTAGGTTGCCCTCGTTCGTGGCCAGATCTAGTGTTTACTGAGGCGGCGGCAGGAATGGAAGCTGACAGCTTCGAGCATAGTCTAGTCCAAGAAGCAGCTGTGGACCCAAGCTTCAAACTCCTTAATGGCAACATGTGAGTTGATTTCTCCTCCTCAACCCTAAGCCCTAAACCCAAAGACAAGGTCAGGGCAACCCTAACCCCTAAACCGTCCTGCAAACCATTGGTCCCTGAGGCGACCACTGAGGACTTCCTTCCGACCTTTTGGGAAAGCCGCATTCCTCCAACCACCCCCCCCTCCCCCCGCCCCACCCACCCTGGAGCTCAGAAACCCTCAAGACCTGAAAAGCTACTGTGTGTAGATGTCTACAGTTTGCTTTATTCCGAATATTTGAAAAGAGTATATCCCGATAGCAACCCAGACCCTTTCCAGGGGTCAAAACCTAGCACACCAGAAAGGTACCCTACCGCTCTATGGCTGAACATGGATTTGGTGTGGCCTGATTATTCGCTACAGTAACGGTTCCTTATGCTTCATCACTATTTGTTGTATATTATACCCGAATATCCCATTATCGGGAGTTCGTTGTTTTGCTAGGTGATACCGCGCCAGGACAACATGTAGCAGCGACGTCACGGGAAGTTGAGCCTCTAAGCCCTAACACCCCAAACCCTTCCTATACCCCTGAACCCTCAACCTTACGCCCTAAACCCTACCTTAACCCACCAAAACCAACTTTTTTGTAGATTCTCAGTATAGAGGTTTATGGGGACCCTACAAAAGAGTAGGTTCTGGTGGGTTAAAGTATACATGCCAAGCACTGATCCAGGCGGTGACCTCTGGCATTTTGCCCTGTGCTGCATCGCCGTCTGCTTGGTTCGGGGGGGGGACCGAGGCTCCCCACATGTTTCTACTAGATCCACGGTTCAGGGTTTAGGGTTTAGGGTTTCGGGTTTCGGGTTTAGGGTTTAGGGTTCAGGGTTTAGGGTTTAGGGTTTAGGTACTCAGGGGCCTGAATAGTTACACATACGATTCCTCAAGGGTTCGGTGGTAGGGTTAGGGTTTATGGGTCTTTAGGGTTACTTACGACTTGTGTTTGTTTAATGGGAAGAACCCATAAGCTACAGGTATCACTGCCGTATCATGTACGAGTGTTTCAGATTCCAACTTGTGCGTTTTGGGGTTAAGGGCTCGAGTACTTTAAATTATGTACTTCCTAACCCCGAACCCTCAGGGTCCAAGTATCCAAATAGCAGGGCTTCAAGGCCCAAAAGCTTATCAAAGTATGGATTTTGGGACTTAAAACCTTACAATTTGGGTACTCGGACCCTCTGGGGAAGCCCTTTTCATCACTACTATTCCCAAACGTGAGTGCCAAATGATTGGGTCCTTTGCACCCTGAGCAATCCCAGACCCGCGGGAGGATCCAAAAAGTGGATCCCTTAAAGGGGGTCCTATCAAGTACTGCTTGGTAGTGAGGGTCCCAAATTACGGGATCTACTTTTAGATCCTCCCGGGAGTATGGGATTCTGTTTGGGATTTCATGGACGGGCAGAGGGAAACTTGACTCACGCTCCCTAAACAATCCCCAAAACCAGACCCAAATCTAAACCCGAAGCCGAGACACCAAACCAAAATCCGAAACCCGAAACCGAAACCCTATACCTAATTTCTATAGCCTTAAACCCTAAACTTCAACCCCACATTACCGTAAACGAGTAAGGTCTGCCCTGCTTTTGCTGCTTGGGTGTATACGTGTCGGCCTCAACTGGGGGCTGGGTTCAGGGTTTAGGGTGTAGGGTTTGGGTTTTAGGGTTTGGGGTTTAGGGTTAGCGGGGTGTTACTCTCGGTTCAGGGTGTTGGGGCTTGGAGTTTAGGTCCTACAGGGTGCTAGGGTCGATTTAGGGTTTATAGGGTTCGGGGTCTGGGGTTTCGGTCCCTAAACCCTAAACCCTAAACCTAAACCCTAAACCCTAAACCCTAAACCCTAAACCAAGTTTAGGTCTTATAGGGTCTATGAAGGGGCTCATAGGGCTGAGAGGGTGTGGGGTTTAGGGCTTAGAGTTAGGGCTCAGGCGTCCGGCGCTGGGGCAGCTTGCGGCTCATTAGTGTAGGAACCTGATTAGGGAACCCTGGCCCTATAGTTAGGGTTTATTCGAAGAACCCTAATAAAGCTCTGGGTGTCTTAAGCAGGTTCCTATATTTGTTGCTGGAGATTCTGGGCTTAGTTTTAGGGTTCAGGGTTGAGGGTCTAGGGGAAATCCCAGACCTCAAATATGGTTACTGCTCTTTCGGGCTGGAAGGTTTTGATTGTTTGAGCATGGCTCGTCTCTTGATTCTTGTCGAAGTCGAAGCGTTCATGAATCAGGTTGAGCTCGGGCGAAAGGAGTTTATAAGCAGAGTGGGATTTTAACCCATACAGAAGCAGAGCTTGGATGTGTTGTTTTTGCCTACGTGGGTCCAGTGCCCAGGGGCGGATGCTTCGGGCTGATACTCGAATTAGAAGCTTCTACCGGTGGTTGCGCGCACCAGGAGATAAGACCCCCTTTCTTAACCGCTTGAATCAGTTGCCAGCTTTCCTCCCCAGAGGGCCGATGCTTGTTTCACACTCGGCAATGCTGAGCGATACGATTTCTTTCCATAAGCCCTAAACCCTAAGTGCTCGAACCTATATCCCAATCCTTTACTCAACCCTTTAACCCAGTTCTTCAACAGTACACACTAAACCCTACTGATAGTTCACTAGAACCCCGGCCGTAAACCCCAAACCTCAAACTACAAGTTCGGCACAACTTATATATATATATATAGAGAGAGAGAGGTCTGAATAAGCAAGGTTCCTTATTGTAAGTATAGTTTGAGATACTGTACTACCGAAACCCTATCTCAAATATTAAGACATATCATTAATAGACCTTACGTAGGAGTAATATATACATGCGAGCTTCACTAAGAGTATATCGTTTCACGCCCTCACATTGTAAAGTTTCCATCGTCGCTCCGTTCTTTACAGAATCATTCCTGAATCTAGGAATCTGGAGGAGAGAGCCGCGTCAGGGCCCCGTCTCGCATAGTAGTGTCCGCCACACGTGCCGATACTACGTTTTGTATAAAGCATATCTACTTCCACAAGCGAGGACTTAGGTGTGCAACTGTCCGTGCGAAAGCCTGTAACACTAATTACTATTCCTTTGAGTTTCTGTTTACAAATGCATTTTTTCTCCGCTGAAACCGTGTTCTCAATATTAAAGTCCCTATACATATGAAATGAGCTTTCAACGTAATGGGCCCTGCAACTTGTGCCCTAACTTTTACATTCAGACTGGGGTCTAGCTGCACAGCACCCGCAAGTCAATCGTAGAATCCTAACGCACAAACCCACCCAAAGCTGCAAAACGCCAAGGCAACTTCTGTAAGTCCTGGTTTCAAGATGTTCAGTTTAGGGCCGTTTAGGGTTTAGGGTTCCCCCACAAGTTCGGGATCATGTCGAGCGACAAGAGTCGAGGCTCTCGCCTGCGCCCACGCAGCGAAGAGGAGTGCCGGGCCTAGACGACAAGGGCTTCTGTTAGGTTTAGATTTTGGCTAATACGAATTCGAAGGTTGTACAGGGTTTGTCCGGTTGTTGAGGGTTTGTCCGGTTGTTTTGGTTTTTGTAAGGGAATGGGCATGTTGAGTTGTTTCGACTTCAGAAACAGGCTTGTGCGGACAATGTGTTCAGAGATGCTATGATTGGTCTTTGCAGCTGCCACCTTACTTGCAGGTGCTGAAGTCTTTTCGGCCGGGCATTGCAAGCAATCATAAAGATTGAATCTGGTGTGTAATTGCTGCTGCGTATTAATCACGCAGTCGGTTTCCGCGAGGGAGGGATCGTCGTGTACGCTGCTCGCATATAGATGCGCCAAGCTGAGTTTGAGACAAGATAGATCTTGTTGCCAGTGATAAACAGCGCCTTCAATGCCAAATCCGCAGCCCTAAACCCAAAAACGCACACTCTATCTTGACCCTATAAGCCCTCAGCGTCTATGTCATTCAACCGAAATTACTACCATACTATAACCTACCCGATCCTGAATTTGTTGTAGGGTCTCTATCAGTCTACAACGAAGCAGGTTTTGGTAGGTTGGGGTAGGTCTTGAGCACCAGGCCTGGTGGGTTCCCAAGGAAAGGAGGAACCAGGATTTTTGATGCTGCAGTTCTCCATCTTTTGCTTGTGGAACAGATCCCTAAGGGCTCTACGTACCTAGGTAGTACAAAGTAAGGCTTCTGTAGCAGGAATTACCATCAGGGCTGGGGGAACTATCCCCCATGCAAGTACTTGAGGCCCGTGGGGTAGACCATAAAAATGCATCTCGCCCATCCCTGAACCTTAAAACCTGACCTTCATAGTATCCCCCTATATGATTCCAAATATCAGTATATCGTCGAAACCCAGTTCAAAGACTTAAGACCGCAAACCCTATAACCCCTCAAAACACTGAACCCCATAAGCTCCGATATGACTCTGAGACGGTTTTTCCCCCCTGCCAAAGCACCAGGTGCGCGGAGGAAGCAGCCTTGAGCCCCAGCAAAGCACCTTCATCGGGACTTACCATCACGGCTTTGGGGTTTTAGTGTTTAGGGTTTAGGGTTTAGGTCAGGGCTTTGGGGTTTAACGGTGGTAGGGCGCCCGGCAACGCAGGGCTACTCCCTATAGAGTGTTGAGTCTAAGTTTTCTTCTTGTATGGAGGGTTTTGACTGTAACAAAGGGATATTCCTTACGGAGTGTAGGGTCTAGGGGTTTATGTGATACATAGGGTTTTTTTTGATCTGCGACTGATTCATGGTATATTCCTTCACAACTGAGCCACCGGGCTCTGTGTGTACCGCAATGGGAGTTTTGGTCTGTTGTAAAGCACGTAGGTTTAAACTACTTAAGGTTTTCCGTGTAGAGCTCCTGGAAAGAAAGCTTGGGATAGGGCTTCGGGGGCAGTGGGTGCCAGAAGTTCAACTAGAAAGACTGCTGCCATACCATGTGGAAGTTATAAATCACCGAGGAGCCCCTACTATGCCCAATTGTATACCCTAAAGGAAAGACTGCTTCTTGTGAAGACTTCTGACATCTGAAAACAAAACCTACCCGAGGCAAGTTTGGAATTTGGAGCTGGTTGGCAAGTTCTTGCAGCTTATGGCTTCCAAACATGATCGAAGAATCATGGACAAATTCCTGCAGGAACTTTCAAGCTCCTAAAGATTGGGAATGACGGCATCGTCTTGTTTCAGCAATGTAGGGCTTCTCCCATCAAGAGCATGGGACACCCTAAACCCCTTACCCTAGAAACCCTAAACCCTTAACCCTAAAAACCCTAATCCCTGAACCCTACAAACCCTAAACCCCTTAACCCTAAACCCTGTTTACACCAAGGGTTGGATCCTCCAGATACTCTTCGCAATCGCGTTGCCAGGAGCCTGGGACTTCGAGAGTTTAGAGCTTCGACCTGATGCTTCAAACAGCCCAAAGTAGGTAGGTTTAGGGTTTAGGGTTTAGGGTTTATGGTTTAGGGTCTAGGTAGGTTAAGGGTTTAGGGTTTAGGGTTTAGGCTCCACCCCGAAGTAGGTATTATTTGTGTAACAAACATTTCAAAACCTGACTCACAAATCAAGCCCTCAAACCTGAGCCATCCAGCCCAAACCCTAAACCCGAAACCCGAAACCCTAAACCCTAAACCCGAAACCGACGTCGTGAAGAACTCAAACCGAGAATACGGAGACCTCGAGACGAAGCATGAACCCTCTAAACCGCCGAACCTCGGTTAAGGTTTAGTCTGTGTTTAGGATATAGGGTTTAGGGTTTAGGGTTCAGGGACCCTAAACCCTAAACCCTTACTCACTAAACCCCTCAGCCCTTAACCCCGAAATCCCCAAACCCCAGAAGCCCTAAACCCTAAACCCCTCAACCCTGCACCCCCGACATCCCTAAACCCTATAATTCCTCAAATCCTTAAGCCCCAAACCCCACACCCTTGACTTGTCAAGCCCTTCGAGCTTGATGCCCTAACACCCGTAGGGTTTAGGGCTTAGGAGGAACACTTCAGCCCAAATATAGGAGCCTTAGTATTCATTGGGATAAGGTTTAGGGGTCTATTATACTGCAATTATAATAAGGAACACCTTCAAACCCGGTTCTAATTCTTAAGGCCGCTACATTAAACCCTAAACCCTAAACCCTAAACCCTAAACCCTAGACCTAAACCATAAACCCTAAACCGTGATGGCTCAGATGCCTCCTTGCCTTCCTGGTGAGTCGGCTTCGGGTTCTCGCCGCGCCGGTGCTGGCGCTGGCCAGGGCCCTCGGAATCTCTTACCACACCGGGTTTAGGATTTAGGGTTTAGTGTTTGGGGTTTAGGGTTTAGGGTTTAGGGAATCGGGGCCGGATAGTGACCACTATTACTCCTTAGAGAAACCTAATTCTAATTATTCAGGCCGTTTTAGTTGGCCAAACATGAGGTTTAGGCGGGCCGATGGTATCTATGTCTTTTTCTATATTATGGTTTGCGGTGTCGTTACCTGTGTATGTACGTGTGCATGCATACATGCTGAGATCTACGCCTGTATGTGGTATGTGTGAGCTACAGAGTTGTGTGCATATGGAATTGTATACATACCTCTTATACATATGTGTGTATACATATATATATATATATGTGCATACATATACATATGTGTATATGTCCATATGGAATATAAGAAGTTCGATGTCGAGGGCTTCTCGTCAAATTACGCATGCGACAGGTTCCCAAGCCAAAGCCAATGCCAAGGCCAAGCCAAAGCAAGCCAAGCTAAGCCAAGCTAAGCCAAGCCAAGCTAAGCCAAGCTAAGCCAAGCTAAGCCAAGCCATGTTGACAACTAGAACTCTCAAATACCCCAGTCCAATAGAAGACCCTCTTTAGCCGAAGAATCGTACGTGGCCGAAGACCCTGCGTAATTCACAAGGGCCATGTGTAAGACCCTGTCTAACCCGCGAGCCTGTCTAGCACATGAGTTCGGGTGTACATGAGTGCATCTAGGCTTGAGGGACTCGAGGGACACGCACACATGTATATATATATATATATATGTATGTATATATATATATATATGCGGGATATGTATGTGTATATATATATATATCTATATCTGTTGATTTGTTCATTTTTGTTATTTAATTTTGTATATTTCTTTATATACGTAAGCCCTTTCTGGCATCTTCGTTCCCGGGCCCCAGAATCTAAACCTCTTCTAGAATCCTGAAAGGTGATGTGTCCGAAGTTCTAACCCTGAAAGTACCCTCATTATTACCCGCTTTTACCAACCCTAAGCCGGTGCCAGAGCAATGGGAGGTCGGTTCCCTGTGTGCTTCACCGGTACGGAACTGAGTCCCAAGTGATCGAAAGTGGTTTTCAGTTCAATACACTCTGGCCCATCCCTAAAGTTTATGCTTTAGGGGTTGAAGAACGTGGGCCTCAATAACAAACCTCAAGGCCCTTGATTACAACTCCACCACCGAAAGTTGTGGTTCAGAGCTTACTACAGTAGATGCCAAGATAAACCGTAATTAGCTGTATCCCCTGTTAGTGCCCATGTACATAGACTAACATGAATATATGCCGGAACCCTTTTTTGGCATAACGGCCCATATGTCTCAGAACTCTTTGGTAATTGGTATGTTTTTTGGTGGTCCTTAAAGAGCTTGTGGCTTATGGTCCTAAACCTTTAGCCCCTGAATCTATCGGATACAGTCTTCTTGTGCAGTTACACATCGCATTCTAGGACTTTCATAATTACAGATTAGTGTTTTGAGTTTTGGGTACACTACAGTACACCCTCTACGTTTTCACTTCGGGGGTTGGGGCCTGTAATAGTTGTGCTTCAACGTCCAAGGAATGCGGCAAGTGTGTGTGTGTAGGTTCAGGACTGAAGGTTAGTTGTGTTATCGGCGCTCGTCAAAACAATCCAATCCCTGATCCCTAGAACATGGGAGTCAGAAAGCAAAGAAGCCCAATGCTGTAGACCCCAAATCTACAGAGTTTGATCCGAACTTCCGGGAACCTAACTCTCACAGAAAAAGCCAATCCTAGGAAGAAGGGTCGGGACTAAGGGCTGTCAGGGTTGAGCTCTGTCCAAAGCTTCCCAGATTCCTTTATTAACGAAAATACTTTCAGTCATTTTAGGGATCATAAATGATCCTGCTATAGTTCGAGGTATGTTCCTTAAACATCGGATATCGGAAGATCTTTGTTGTAGCAATCCTTCAGTCTCGAAAACAGAGCCCTAAGCGCTCAATACTGAAAGGGTTGAGAGTTTCCTGAATTGCGACATCTCTCAGACACCTCAAGTTTTGAAGTGAAGCTCCTGTTTAGGCTAGGGTCTGGGGCAGTCAGTGAGTCAGGGTCCCCCAGCCCGATGCCTGGCTTTGAAAGACCTTCGAGAAATGGCTTTCGTGCGGAATCGTTCGAGAGTGGTTCAAATCCCTAAACCCTTAGCCGTGGCTCTAGGGTTTGAGTGTTCAGGATTTAGTTTGAAGGGCAGATACTCGCGAGGAGTGACCTTTTGCATAACTATACCTGAAAGCCTCAATTCTTTAGGGTTCAGCGTTTGTGGTTTAGGGTAAGTCCTAAATCAAGCAAGAGTGTTCAGGCTCGGGCCTTAAGGCATAGGAACGCGACGGAGGAGGCTGGGTATCGAAAACTACCCGGAGCACAGCTATTCGGACCACAAGCCCTCACGGCCTACTATTCGGGTGCTTGTACCTTCCTGGCTGCTCTTATTGTAGGATTGAGGATTGACTCGGCTCTTCGCATGATCCCGTTCTCTGAGCATCAAAGGCACTTCTTCGATTCTCTCTTGGTCGACATGTGTGGCCACTCTCCTATGGCGTGGCGCCTGGTAAGATTTTGGCTTCTGGTTCCAGTGCGTTCGGTATGCTTGCGTTTCGGGCTTGACACATACAAACTGATATGTACATGTGCATGCATTCGTTCGTTCGTTCACTGCATTCATGCATGCATGCATTCGTTCATGCATACATTCACTCATTCGTCGTTCGCTCACACCGGCATAAATACCTGCATACATGCACGCACACATACATACGTGTGTACATGTGTAATATGTGTAGACACACCGGTCTCCCTCTTTCTCTCTGTCTTCTGTGTTAGCGTCCTTTCTCTAAATCAATCTGAACATGAAACATCCTCGATGCACGCAAGCATGGATAATTAAGTATGCATGGACCTACATGCCTGCAAGTGTTTGTGTGTGTGTGTGTGTATGCATGTATGCACGCCTGTACATATTAAAGCATCCTCGTACACGCAAGCATGAATGAGTATGTGCGGACCTACATGCCTGCAAGTTTGTGTACTCATGTATGCACACATGTACATATCAACAGCCATGTGGAGAGACATGTGCAGCTACACACACACACACACACGCATGCATAGGTGCAATCCTGGATGTTCAGTGTAATGTATACAGGACTTCTTGAGCGAGTGTGATTATGAAGTGCGAACTGCAGCCATTCGCATCAGGTGCATTGCTAATCATGGCATGACATGCCTGAGCCATGGCACAGAGGAGTGATTTCTATGATTCTCGGGCCATCAATGAACACGATGGGAACTGGGTCGTCCTCCGGAAACAGAGCGCGCCGTTGGACCTCGTTGTCTCTGCTGGCGGCTTGCTGACCAAGCAGATGCTCGAGAAGCTTTTCATCTCGCGCATACGTGAGGAAGATGTCCAAGGCCTTGCTAGGTGGCATGACATAACACCTGAAGCCTACGCGCACCGGTGCGTTTTCCAAAGTTCTCCTCCAGATACCACTCTGGACGAGATGGAAAGTGGGGTGAGCAAATACCTGAAGCAAGCTCAGGAGAACAAACGAATTCAAGAATTCAATCCGCGGAGACGCTCCGGATGTCCGGGCTATGCTAACTCCTGTGCAGCTCGGTTTTATATAGCATCGGAAGTCTTGCCAGACATGGATTTCCGGTAGTGAGCGGCATCTTCAACTTTAGCTCACGATTCTGCTGAACCGGTGAGACTGTGGTGCCAGAGAGCCTTGCACCCGAAACTTAAACCTGCCACCGACCTACGCGTAAGCTTGGATGGACTTTCCATACCCTAAACCCTCAACCCTAACCC